TCCTCTATTTCATCCCTCTCTGACATTGTCCACCTCTCCACCAATCACAACCCTCGCCCTCCCTCCGCCCCTCCACTCACACAACCCCACACGCCTGCACCGTTCAGTTCCCGCCAATCCCGAGAACAGATCGATCAGCAGACAGTCACTATCTCCCCTGACAGACTCACGCCCAGCAGCCAATGGGCGGGCGCCCACACCGTCTCCGAGTGACGTTCATTAGTGGCCGACACCGCCCCGCACTGCTCCCAACTCACGCGTTCAATAGCGGATTGTTCGCGCTTATGCGACAATTTTCCGCCGCTCGCCGCTGTCAAAGGGCGGTTTTGTTCTCTAAAGAAACCGACGAAGCGCCGTGCCACAGCGAGGAGCATTTATTAACCAGCGACGCTCCACGAGAGCTGTTCATTATTTTTCTCAAGCCGGTTTCATGCTCAAAGGAATTCCGTTTTTCCAGGTGAACGTATGTGTACGGGTGGCTGTTTCTGAAAGTTTTTGGCCGGGGTTCACGCGCGCAGGTTTTGAATTGGATGTTGGCAGGGGGAGCGGCGATGTACCGCGGTGACCTCTGTGGTACAGGTGAGGAACTGCTTGTGTGTTTTCTGTGCTAGATGGCGTTATGTGTAGAGTGTGTCGTTCGGCTTGTTGTCATGGGTGGAGGTGTACTGCTAGACGCTTGTTGTGTCCTATAATCTAATTTAGATACCTCCAGTGTCTTGTAACCTTCCTGATGGTGATATAATTATTGCTAGTGTCGTATGATGTGACTGAATGGTGACACATTTCTGATGACCTATAATCTTACTGAGTGGTGACATATTATTCCTGCTAATGGAGTATATGGCTACATATTGCTGGGGTCACAAAAGCTTACTGGGCAGTATAGTAATATTGCTAATGTCGTATAAAATCTTACTGAGAGGCATAATCTATACATATTATATTTGTCAAAGTTCATCACTTCGGCCTCCTAAAACTTCCCAACCACTTAACTTTCGAATTTGACAAAATTAATGGCGGTTCAACATCATTTAAAGGGTGCACAGTTCTATTGAGGAGCTTGAGGTCACTGTTGTTTAATCTTCAGTTTTTCATTAGTTTCGTTTAGATCTAATCTTGGGAAAATCTGTCTTCTACGACGCTATTGTAAACAAGTGGGGTTTCCGTTCAATAGCCGTGCGCACTGTTTCCACACCTTAGAAATTCTGGAGTTTACAATAGAGAATCATTCTATACACCTCTTTATCTAAACCTTCTAATGTTTTGCATATCTCAGGATTTATTGCTTCATCCCAGTAGACTGTAAATACTATTGTAGGCCAATGACCTTCTGTTGAAGTTAATGCACCGATCATTCCTTTCATCAAAAGGGGGCCCAGCTAGTAATAAATATTGCTTGTGACGCACGCATGCATAACCTTACTGATGGGGACAAACTGCTACTTTCGGAAAACCTTACTAATAGTGACATATTGCTAGTGTTTTATAACCATACTGAGTGGTGTGGTGACATATTATTGCTAGCGTTTTATAACTTTACCGAGTGGTGACATATTATTGCTAGCATTTTATAGTCTTACTGAGAGGTGACATATTATTGCTAGCGTTTTATACCCTTACTGAGTGGTGACATATTATTGCTAGCCTTTTATAATCTTACTGAGTGGTGACATATTATTGAGAGCGTTTTATAACCTTACTGAGAGGTGACATATTATTGCTAGCGTTTTATAACCTGAGTGGTAACATATTAGATCGTTGCAGATCGTTGTGAGTTTGTATGGGCGTATGTGCGTATGTACCTATGTGTGTATGTGTGTATGAATGTATGTATGTGTGTGTGGTGCGTGCATGCGTGCGTGAGTATGTGTGGGCACGCGTATGTA